AGTTTTCACACAAGAAAGAAAATTTGAGTATCACGCATTTAGGTACAAGATTAGGTCAAAAATTCATGTTTCTCGTCAGGTTTTTGCTCATTTCTTGGGGAGAAATTCAGCTCGGGTGCTGATTTTTACACCACTGGTTGGAGCATAAATTGGGGCTTTTACAATATAAAGGCTTCGTTAGGAACGGTTTGCAGTTTTCTCAAAAAACTCCAAATTTACAGAACGATGTTCGTTTGCTCGGTTTTTTTATAGCAAAATCGTCTCAAAATGACGCCGTCTTTTTCGACATTTGGCGACACATGTGTGTTAGCAAAACATCAGAACCAAACTCTTAATAGTCGGTCAATCGTTGTTGAAACGCCCTGGTAAACGAGCGGATTGTTTCCTTCAAGTTACATAATTAAGTGAAAAACCTTCAGTGCGGACAATGCTAAGACCAAAGTCCTGTAAAGCGTTCAAGAACGTCGAAAATCCTGCTAAAGATGTATAATTTTTCAAACTCGAGTCGCAGACCCAAGGAAAATTGAGCAAATCGTGCATGTCAAGGCTCAAGTGCACGTAACGTTCCCAATTGACACTCGAGACCACCGAAACTTTGCGGCCAAGTTTAGTGAAACTTTAAAAAAATTCTGACAAACTTGGAGGAATTTTCCCAAAAAAAAATTAACCCGCGCGTGCATGGCAAAGCTCAGTTGAGTGTAACTTGCACAGTGGCAACTGCGGAGAGGTGAAACTTTCCTACTTATTTGAGAAGACTAAGGGTGAAGCACTGTGAGAGTTTCAGGAAATTCCAGCATCCTGCTGAATTTGCACAATTTTTGAAAGTTGGCTCTCCACATCAACGGAAGCTTCACAGAATCGTGCATGGCAAAACTCTATTGCGGGAGGCARGATTGCTGAAAGTKTCCAYCTTACCGGGAAAAACTACGCAGAAAACACTGTGAAACTTGTAAAAACACTGTGACAACTGGGCGWCTATAAAACACTGAAATTTGAGGGAAACAGTTTTGAKCCGAATTTTCGATAAATWCSRAAAAGGMGAACTTCCTGATTAAGGRAAAGCGCCCAGTGGGAGGAGAGGMGGAAAAACCCTGWTTAAATTAATTACGCGAAGAAGATAAACACGCGATTTTGCAACATCGGKAGTCTGAACTAATATTGACTGGCTCAGGAGTTTTGGAGTTAAATCGCCACCCAAAAGCAACAAACCCTGAATAAATTGTGGTAAAAAACCGCTATAATTGGATGAAAAACCATTGAATCCGATTGGCACGTTCCAGCTAGAATCAACGTCATTCAAAGCCAAAGTTAGCGAATTTAAAAGGAAATATAAATTCGGATCGCCGGTATTGTTTTATTAATTAGGACGGGCTGTTTTTGTTTGATCGATAGGTGCGAACCTCCAACAATTTTGCCGAATGTTTATAAATACAGTTAGCGATTAGCGCAATTTATTAGCGAAATGATGCAACATTTGTCGCGGACCGTGACGCAAAACGTGGTTCGCTCATATGACCGCTGTCCAAAGAAATGCCTTTTACTTTGCAGACAAACAATAGCCGGCCTTTTACCTATTGAGGCTATTTTTAGGCTTGGCACAATCAGGGACAAAGCTGTTCAACTATTGACCAGTTTAAACTAAACCAAAGCCCCATTTGGTTCGGCAAAAGCGCATTTCCAGAAATAGAATACAGAATATGCCGATATGAATAGGCAAAGTGCCGTTTCGATGCAATGCAATCACGAAATCTGCTTATTCTGGAAGCTAGAAAAAGTTAATTGGATGGCATTCTGGCTCATGGCACACCGGCGTTCTTTGACGCAGTTTGAGGCTCTGGAAATTTCCAAAATGGACTGGAGCATGAGACAAGCTCCATTAAATTACTAATGCGGAAGCGGAACGGGAATTAGTTGGTGGCGTGTCCAAGTTCATCAAGTTGGATGTTTATTTTATGGGCAACTGATTGCGCTTTTATTGCCGCCGTGGGTAATAAATCAAAGAGGAGCGAGCAGGAAAAGGAATAGTTGAAGTTACCCGAGAACTGGATGGGGCTCGGATGAGAGGCAGCAGTTTCAAGGCCTTCAAGAGGACCGAAGACACCACCAAATCCAGATCCAGCGATCATAAAGAAGACAATGAAAAGCTTTTGCAGACTGGCAAGCGCAGATTTCGGAATGCACCAACCTCAGGCACCTCCAGGACCGGTTTCGAGCCTACTCGCTCTCATCAAGCTGAGCACAGCTGATGAGGCAACAAATCGCCTCGGTTTAGATACAACAGTGGTTTCAGCAACCTCGACCTCATGTGGATGGGGATTTTTGGCAATTTTCGCAAGATTTTAGTGGTTTGATGGATTTTAAGAAAGTTTAGGCGTTGATTAAGAGTCCATGAAGTTGGAGGATCCCAGTCAACTTCATTCCTTGAAACGTCAATTTGTTATTATTTTTTCCAGTGCTTCTTAGCAAAAAAGTGCTTTTTCAAAAGTCTATTTCGATAATATTAATAATTCCAAATCAAAATCAATTCCTGGGCTTCAGTCCTTTATTGTCTATTTATCAATTAAAATACGTTTCGGTGTTTTCCACCATCATCAGTTTCTATGTGTAGCGTTGTT